TAGGGTGTTGCTTTGCACCCCAAGTCGGCAATTCTAGCACACTGAAGAAGCGAGAAGCTGGGTGTCGTCAGCGTACTGAACTTCAAAGGCACCGGCGGTATACATACTAACGCCATGGGCAAGAGGGGCGTAATCCCACCAGATGGGCTGGGGAGGGAGGGCTGAACAGTGAGACATTGCCAAACCTACCCGCAAAATAAGCTATTAACCGTGATTCCTCCAGGTTTGACCCGCTTTCCTCTCAAACTTGAGGCGCTGGGACCAAAGTTTCGAGAACTGGAACCTGCCCCCTCCCCCGCTCCCCAGCCGAAAAGGGGAACTATGCCCCTGGTAGGCGAAGATGGTGAAGAGCCAGGGACCATGGACGAGTCCTGAGAGACCCAAGTTGATTACAGGCGGAGCAGATATTTATTAGCCAGAGAGAAAGACACTTCGCGTGTCGCCAGAACGACGCTCTTGGTACCTCTCGATGCCTGAACGCCGCTAGGGCCGAGGAGATGATGCGGTGTCAGTTGACACCGCGCCATTGCCTTGATACATCGAAGCAACGATTTTTTAAAGCAATTTAGAACGATTGATAACTTTCCAACCTATAAAACATGTTTCTTGCAACACTAGCGCGAAGGCACACAGCAGCAGATAAGAGGATCAGACAGAAGTGGGAGAACGGCATTGGCGACCACAGTATCAGGGCGTCAAGAGAACTTAAATAGAGTAGAGAGATAGAGAAGAGAGAAGAAGGAGAGAGAGAGAGGAGGAGAGAGAGATGAGAGAGAGAGCAGAGAGAGAGTAGAGAGAGAGAGAGAAGAGAGAGTAAGAGAAGAGAGAGAGAGAGAGAGAGAGAGAGAGCACAGAGAGAGAGAGGAGAGAGAGGAGAGAGAGAGAGAGAGAGAGAGAGAGAGAGAGAGAGAGAGAGAGAGAGAGAGAGAGAGAGAGAGAGAGAGAGAGAGAGAGAGAGAGAGACTTTGAAGCCGAGGAAATGCATCTCTCTCACCTCTCTCTAGTTTTATAAGCACCAACGTCGACCGGGGCAGGCATCTTCAACCCCATGCCTCTACCTCCACCAACCGTCCTGGTTTAGGTGGAGTTATGTCCACTGCTGCAACTGTGAAGGAGGGTGCCTAAAGTTGGCTGGGGCGTGGTGCTGTTGCCTGGCTCTCAGCCGGGGCTGACAAGTCCCTCCCGCTCCGGGTGGGGACAGCCAGCTCAGCAGGCTTCCCTGGTTTCCCGCTGGGCGTTGCTTTCTGGCCTGCCATCCTCTCTTGAGGGTAGGCCTGGTTCCGTTTGTTTGGTGTTCTGTGACACATGGCGCCGAGATGGCCTCTCTTCTGACATAGGCCACAAATGTCCGTTTTGAAGGCGCAGACTGCTCTCATGTGATCCAGTAGGCCACACACAAAACACGGCCTGGTCTGTACATGGGGTACAACTTCTGAAGCAATGCTCACCCGGTTACTGGCCGCTGTTACCCCGATGGACTGTTTGGTTGAGCGGTCTGCCCTCTCGAAAACTGCGATGGGGGTCACAGCCTCATCCAGGACCTTGATCCTCCCCCGAATCAGCTTCCTGGTGCATGCGGCCAGAAGCAGGTTGAGCAAATGGAGAAGGCAAAGCTGCTGCCGACTGTGTAGGCTAGTTAGCATCGGGTAGGCAAGGGGTCAACTCCTCGATGCGCAGCACAGGCTTATTAGGAGATCATCATTACTGCTTGAGAAAGTGGTCAGATGTTAACGTTAACGTTAACGGCTAGTTAACGTTAGGCGATGACGTCACAAAGTTTTCACGAGCCCGCGCGGCGGTGTTGCATGTCAACGTCGACTGCGGGGTCGGGAGGCAATAGTCACGCAAAAGTGTGGAGGTCTGGTCTATTGTTGTGCAGTGTAGTATCGAATTTGTAACATCGCCAGCAGTCCGAAGTCAGTATGCATGTGCTGAAAAGGAAAAATTCCGTCGATTCTATTTATATTTTTGGACCTAATTCACAGTCACTAAATCACGCAGAATGTGGGCCGCGCTGTGTTGTTTGTGGACTAGAATACAAGATCGAAAGAAGATTTCACAGCCATTATCTTGTTTACAACGTGGGACCCAATTGCCACACAAATGGTAGAGCTATTCATGCAACGCTGGCGAGGCGGGGGGGGGGGGGGGGGGACTTAAGGGCGCAGCCGAAATGTGCAACGCCGAAGAACTACCATGATTGCCTAGATGTATTACGGTATTTCACCATTTTCTTGTATTATAGTGGCATAGTTATATAGTCATTTCATTTTACCATTGTGTTATTACCGACATATACCTTGTGAGCCATTGCCTGGATGCATCACTATTGCTTTCCCGTGATTTGTAACGGGGCTAAGGTTAACTGCATGGAAATCGGAGAGTTTGTCGGGATGATGGGCGGATACCCATGCAATATTTGGGCGTGATAACTTGTGTCCCACCCTTTCCCCCATTGGCCCAGTTTGCCCAGCCCATATATATTTTATGTCATGTGCAAAACATAAGTGGTAAATATCGGTAAGGTGCACGCAGCACAGTGTTCGTATGCCGTTAACTGTCCTTTTAGGAGTCCAGATTATGTCACGCTGGACCACAAGCAAACGTGAACGGATACACAAACCGGGTATGATAACGACAAAATGAGCATGTCTTGGTACAAGACATTTTGTTGTCGCAACGACAACTCAACTGCTGGCATGCAAGGGGTTATAATATATGCGCCTTTTACGTACATCGAAATGCCAGTGTTTTGGTGTATTGCAGATCCAATATCCAGCTGTGGTGGAAGCGGCAGAGCATGCGGACGACGTGGAGATCGCCTACCAGCAAGCAGCCGCGATGCCTCCAGTGTCCGTCCTGAACGAAGTCGACGAGGACGACGAGGTCAACGAGGTGGGCGAGGACAAGCTCCATGGCAGCGACGGCGAGAGATAGAAAATGAACTCCGTTGCCGCGACGAGGAGGACGAGGTTAACATCGATCACGGTGCGCTGGCCTTTGTTGCCGGGTTCGTCACGGCCAAGTGGAAACACGTCGACCCAAGCACGGGACTGTCGACCCTATAGGCACCCCCAGCTGTGTGGCAGACAGCTGGATATACACGATTAGTCAGGGTGGTTTGATGGTACCGTCGCCGGCCTGGGTGAGCGCTGTCCAGGCTTTCGAGGCCGTGTTCCAGCTAGTGATGGGCCGAGGCACGAACCGAGACATTGGTGTCGTCGACCGCCTCACGAAGCTGCTGCTGGAAAAATACTTCGCGTTGGACAAGCGGATTGCACAGAAGCTGGTAACAATGAACATCTATCTGTGTCTCAGATGGCCGTGGCTGAATATGGACGAATGGATGATCAGGATAGGGCTGAGCAGGCTACTGCCAGGCACGCAGCTTAACTGGTGCAATAGCACGTGGGTAGCAAGTGAGCATGGCTGTATTTTTTGCCTTTACGTGCGTGCTGATGTGCTTGTATGATGTATAGACTGCGTCATCGCAGATAAACGTTTGAGTTGTTTTAGACGGGGTTTATCATGTTGCACAACTCTAAGTTTAAGATAAAAATCTATAGCTATGTCCCTCCCGTTTGCTTTGTGTCCCCACCAGGTGTGCACAATGAAGTGCATGTTGTGCTCAATAGTCGTTTTTAGTTGTGCATGTGTACGATGAATTGGCAGGATGACATGAGGATCTGACCTTGACTGACACCAGGCGTCACGACCTAAGGAGGTTTCATGGCGTAACTGGCGCAATATGAAATGCTGTAATGTCCACGATGCTCTATTTCCTACCAGGCATAAGACAGCACGCCACTCCTCTCGTCTGAAACTACCTCAATTGCACACCAGTGCAACCCGACACGTCACTATCCACAGTGCTTAGGTTCAGCGAGATAGTCCAGATAATGGCCCTGGTGTCGCTCAGCCTCTCCCCTGGTAACATCTCGACCTTGGGCAGGGTTGCCGGGTTGGGTTTGAGCATCTGCAGGCCGGTCTCAATGTTTGGTGTTCTCAGAAAGCGGGAGCGCCTTGGCACACGGGCCTCCCCTTCCCATCTTAATGTCTGCTGTTGTTCACCAAATATGAGGCAAAAAATATCCCTTCCAAGTTTCCTTAGATGATTTCTTGAAGTGCCTTCCAGATACGCATGTTCGCAGGCATACCGGTGTGGCAGACATGACGGTAACGCAGGCTACGGCCATGCCAGGACGCGAATTTGGGACGTCATTTATAGTGAAGGCGAAGTGCCTTGATAACGGCTCATCTCCAAGCCTATTTCCTATCTGTGTTGCGCGCGTTTCCCCGCGCTCCAGGCTCGTCACCATGGCAACCCAGCCCGGCTGGGCGGGCCGTCGCTATGACCGTCAGGACCAGCGCCAGTAAATACCTGTTGCAACTGCAAAGACGGCCAGCCGCGAGGCCCACGCATGAATCGATGCGATATGCATGATCGCCACTTTTGTGCGACATTACAGTCCACACGTATGCGCCCACGCGTCCACCCCACGTGCGTCCTGAATACCCGGAAGGCAATTCATTCGCCCGTGTCTTCCAGGACCACGCACGCAGGATGTGCGTGTCAGTGATTCGGGAGTGGGTACGTGTAGATCAGGTTATATTTCGCGCCTGTCCAATGCAATGCAACCAGTTTCTTCTCACTAGCTTTTGGCGGCACATCTCCGAAATCCCCGACTACAAAGGTGAATCGTGATTTTGTATTCACACGTAGTTTACCGCACAGCAGTGCTCGTTTTGGCCTCCTGGTCAGCCTGCGTGCTTCATTCCGGCTGAACCCTCATGAACAAGCAGAGCCTGATCCGGGAAATTCTATACAATGTCCACTTTTCGTTTCACCCCGCCGTGTAAATCGGGCAGTTCCGCTCGCCGAGGCTTCGTGACGTCACAGCGCCGCCGTCGCTGGTCGGGCCGCCTGGCAAGCGCCCGACCCTACCTGTTAAAGGCCAGTGTTGAGCCGCCGTCAGGCAGTCTCACTCACGGTCGGGCACGATGTGGACGTGCGCTCTGCTGCTCTGCGGCCTGTCAGCGGCGGCGGCGGCCGTCTGCGGCGGGCCGTGTCAGGAGCCGCTGAAGGTGGGACCGTGCAAGGCTCTGGTGGATCGCTATTACTTCTCTTCCACGGTGGGCACGTGCCTGCCATTCTTCTGGGGCGGCTGCCAGGCGAACGGCAACAATTTCAAAACAATATCGCAATGCAGTGCTCAGTGCTGCGGCGGCGGCTGTGGGAGGCCGAGCTTCTGCTCGCTGCCGGCAGACGTTGGTCCCTGCGATGCCGTCATCCCCAGCTACTACTTCGACGGGAAAAGCTGCCGCAAGTTCGACTACGGTGGCTGCGGAGGCAACAAGAACCGCTTCGACAACATAGAGCAGTGCAAGAAAGTTTGCAGGTCGCATCGCTGAGCGTCTGGCATGATGCCTGCCATCTGGCGGCGACCGGCCACGAAAATTGTCGGCCCCCTTGGAGCCCAGTGCGGGATCCGGAGAGATCTTCCATACCAGTGGCGTATGCTGTGAAATAGCATTGGGCGTCAAGTCGCGTGCTTTCTGGAATTTTGTGTTATTGTAAGTGTGAAAAGTTTTCGTCACAACGTGCGCGTTCGGTGTGGTTTGCTCTGACCTTCACATTGGACCTATTTTTACGTGTGGACCAGGTTATACCAGTGACCAGGACCATTATTTTTGGCACCGTCGAAAACTGCAATACGTTAACTAAGCTCTTTGCATTGAATTGACAAATACATTTTCATGAGAGAGCATGACTACGTTTGCTAACTTCGTTTATAAATCACCACGGTGAGCCACATCAATACATCGTGGCTCAGACTGGTGCATACCTGCTTCTCCTGCCAGACGGTGAGGGTACAGAGGCCCAAAAAGTTTATTAAGCTTTCACCGCAGCGCAATCCCGACACAGCGCATCCCAAAGGGAGAAATCTGCTCACTGCACGTGCGTACTATACATTACATCCATCAAAAAGTATTCAATTTTAACAGGTCACTACCGTCTGGCTTTAAACACGGTTATGTTCGCATTAGGATTTGCCTTTTCGAATGAGCAGAAATTAAATATACACCTTACATAAGTCAATTTTCAGGGGTTGATATTAGGAAGACAATGGCGCACGACGGAATCCCCCCCCCCCGCGTTAAGGCCACAGATTCCCGCCATCCGCTCTTCTGCTCTTCTGCAGCACCTAGGATGCCTGGTACGGCTGTTTCCGCCACCTAGCGGTCTGCCGCGGCTCCAGTGCCGGTGTAGTTGACAGCCCGGCTGGCGGTCACATAGCGACGGGTTTCGGAACCAATCAGGGGCAGATCCAAACGGGGAGGGCCATGGCCCCCCTCGGGCCTCGAAGGAGCCCATTGGTCTCAAGGGGGCCCATCGCCGGCCGAACAGGTGTAGTTTTTTTTAACACAAAACGCAACAAAACTGGATATCTCTGGACTTCCAGACGACCAAGAACAGTAGTAAGCAAAAGTGGAGGGCCTATGAGAAGTCAAAAAAAAATATATATTCAATGGTTGGAAAAGTTATGAACTCGAAATTTTATGCCTCATTACACTGCCTAGGGGCGCCATGCTGTTTCTGGGAGACCTATATGCCCACTTGCAGGATCATTTCGATTGTTAAGGAGCATCCCACGATGCCCTTTATTTCTTGGCAATTGCTCGGGGGGCCCTACGCTGTTGTTGGGGCCCTTCCTGCTAGTGTGCCGGGGCACTGTTGTCAATCACGGGCCCTTCCCGTTGGCGTGCCGGGCACTCCTGTCAATCACGGGCCCTTCCACATGATCTTTCCATTCGCCAGAAAGGCTCTGTGGGCTAAAGCCGGGGTCCCATATATTGATTTGCCGGGGTATTCTTGGTTGCTCAGGGGCACTTTACGTAGGTTTCAGTTAACCTACTAACGCACTTGCGATATGCTCGCGAGTTCTCTTCATTGGTCAAGGGCGCTTCCAATTCTCTGTCACTTGCTTACGACCCTGCACTCTTGTCGGGGGCCATCTGATGGCCTGCTTGAGCACACCAGTCGCTCGGGAATCTCCGCACTGGGTCTTGGATACTTTTTTCTTAATGGGGGAGCTACACTTCTGGGCGGGGGGCCTATCTGATAACCTGCTCGGGCACATTCAATCGTTCAGGGGCCCCTGCATTGGGCCTTGGGCACGTGCTATTTGAACAGGGCCCTACGCACTTGTCGGAGCCCCCTCTGTTTGCCTCCTCGGCCACACTGGACTGCTCGGTGGGCCCTGCGCATTGGTTCTTGGTGTTTGAATTAGGGCACTCTGCTCCTATCGGGGTCATCTGATAACCTGCTCGGGTACACTCCATCTGTCAGGAGCCCTCTGCATTGGGTTTTGGGTACATCTTATTCAAATGGAGGGCCTTACGCTCCTGTTGGGGCCCATTCTGGAAAGATGCTTGGGCCCATTCGATTGTGGGGGACCTCTACATGGGGTTTTGGGTACTCACTTTTTGAATGGAAGGCTCTCCGTGCTTTTCGGGGGCCCTATCTGTTAACCTGCTCTGGTGCACGCGATTGTTCAGAGCCCCACATATTGTGTCGTGAGTATTTCTTTTTTGAATGGATGACCCTATGTTCTTGGCGGGGCCCCATCTATTAATCTGTTCAGGCCGGTGATGGGACCATGCCCCATGTACCATGCCGAGGGAATCTAAGGGCTCCGAGGGGGCCCATAACCGGCCGGACGGACGGAGTTCTCTTAAAACAAAATTGGAAGGCTTTGGGCCTACAGACGAGCAAGAACGATTACTAGCAAAAGCAAAGAATTCATAAGCAGACAAATTTCATTTTCTTGCTGATCGAGAAAGTGTTGCCGGGGGGAAATTTTGGAGCTCATTGCGCTGTCTACAGCCATTGCGTTTTAGTTTCCTGCCCCTATATGTCCACTTGCCGGGTCATTCTGATCGCTAAGGAGCTTCTCAAGTTGCCCTTGATCTCCTTGCACTTTCTAGCAGGGCCCAATGTGCTGTTGGAACACTATCTGCCTCCATGCCTGAGCACTGTTGATCGATCAGGTTTTCTTACGCGGATTCTCTCCATTCGCCCGAAAGGCCCTTCACGCTTTTGCCAGGCCCCATATGCTAGGGTACACTCAGTTACCCAGGGGTCCTTTATTTAAATCTCGGGTTCTTCCTGCTTGCTTGGAGGCCTTGTGCTGTTGCTAGGGCTCTTATAAGGTAAGGCACAGAGACACTCGAAGTTCAGTGGCCATCTACTTTGATCGAGGGCTCTCTCCCTTTGGTCTTATTTGCAGAGGACTCTTCACTCTTATCGCGGCTCGTGTTGTTAACCCTCCCGCGCACTCTTGATCGCATAGGCCTATTAATTCTTGGTCTTGGATAACTCCTCTTCGCTCGGAAGGTTCTGTACTCTGGCCGGGGCTTTATATGTCAGCCTGCCACGGCACTATCGGTCGTTCATGGGCCCGCCACGTGGTCTTGGGTTCTTTTTGCTTGCTCTGCGGATCCTATATTTGTTGGCGGGAACCACTTTGTTGGCCTTCTGCAGCACCCATGATCGCTCAGGTTTCGTCCCTATTGGCCCTGGTGCCTTCGCCTCAGAGGAGCGGTTGAATATGCGCCCATGAATTTCTACGCGCAATTGCCGAACGTAATTTTACATGTCGCCGACGCCGTATGTGCTATTTTCATTAGCTATTGGCTGTGTACCACTTTTTATGCTGGTGCATCACGTTCTCAACATATTTCGAATGCCAGGATATGCTGCACTCCTTTATAACAGAGGAAAAATTCTGCACTAGTCATCAGCTATCAACTGATTACATCGCTCAGCTAGCTAGCCGTAAAAACATAAGCTAAGAATCATGTCCATGCTTGGTTTTGGTGGTTGTCAGCAGCTAACTCAAGTTTATTTTGCCTGTTGTTCCGGAACACTTAGCCTTGAAATCACAGCATTTAACATGGTCACCGACCGGCCGCATGTAGTCCTGTCGGCCCCGCTGATTAACGCTCCTTGTGCTGACTTTCCGCTTGCTCCCCCCCCCCCCCCCCCCGCCGCAGTTCGCTTCGGGCAGTTCCGGCGGTGATGTGGCACGACCCGTCGGCCCGTCACCCACATTGCGGGACGGCGGGACGACATGCAGGTGGGTGTGCTACTCTGCATGGTGGCGGCGACGCCCCGGAGAGGCACCGGCTTCAGCCGGTGTAGGGGACTAGCGCCCCCTCTTGTCCCAGCTCCGGCAACGGGTGGACAGCGCAAGCTGTTCCTCTGAGGGCGTAGCGACCCTGCCGGTACGTGAGCTCCCGCTCCTTGTCCCGCCCGCTCCCTTTCCATCATCCGCTTTCCCGCGTCCGGCCCACTCATCACTCCCAATCTTCGTTTCATTGGGGTCGCCGTGCCCCTTCGCCCGCGCGCCCGGATTGATCGAATCCTAGTGGGTGAAGAGCGCGTCGCGCGGATCAGTCGCGGTGTGTCCCAGCACTTCACTTCGGCTAGGATATCCGGAGGTGCGGGGGGCCCGTGGGTCCCCACACGAGTCTAGCGGCTTGTTGCTCGCGCTGCGGCTGGGTGCTTCGTGCGTGTCTCCGCTTGGGGCGCCTGGCCGCGGGCAGCGATTTAAGGGGTCAAGGGGCGGCGGCGCTGAACCTCGGTCAGGATGGGGAGGGGTCTCCTCGGTTACACCTGGCCGTGTGGGAGGCGTCGTTCGCCCCGTATAGTACCGGGGTAGCCCTGGCAGTGACCACCTCCCGGGGGAGTGTTGGACCGTCCCCCAGTTGTGCTCCGTGGTGGGTGTGGAGCCCCAGTGCTGAAACTTCACTGAAACTTGCATGGCATCTTATAACCAAAAAACCACCCGACCCCCGAAAGGGGGAAGGACCACGTTGATAACAAAAAGCAGCGGAGAAGCCTCCCCATCTCGCAGAATTTTGGTTTTCCAAAGTGATAAGGCGAGGCTCTCGTCCCTCTCGACGTTTCAGCGGAAGAACGGGTGTGATCGATTTGGAAATGTGGTTCGGTGGGACAGATTGCGTAATGGGGGTTAGAGGAAGAGTTCGTCAAGGGGGCAGAGGCTGATCGTGCGAGGGCTGCAGCCGAATTTATGCACTGCGTTCGAGACAAGGATGGTAAACGAGACGCTTCTGTGCCCATCCAAGTAACCACACCTGACAAAAAATGCATCCAGGGGAATAATCAACTGCTTTGACTTGCGTGGCGTTAGTGAAGAAGAGATCGCTGGCGGGTTGTCTGTGTTCGGCGTGACTGCTGTACGTAGGATCTCCATTAGAAAAGGAAGTGAGCAACTGCCGACACATAACATCATCTTGACTTTCAATCGCCCGGATCTGCCTTCTGAAATACGCGCTGCATACGCACTTGTCAAGGTGCGCCTTTTCATCCCGAACCCCATGCCATGCTTCCACTGCCAGCGATTTGGCCATACCAGACAGTACTGCCACAACAAGTCTGCCTGTGGGAAATGCGCTTCTCCCGAGCGCACAACGGAGTTCTGCGATTCGGAGAGAGCGTATTGCGTAAACTGTAACAAAGACCAGGCTCCGCACACGAATTACGACCGCATGTGCCCAGCTTACGTGAAGGAAACAAATATCCCGATTAAAACCACTCGCAACATCTCTTTCGCGAGGTCAGAACACTGTACGAGAGCCACCCTCAAACATCATATGCCGAAAAAGCCAAGGTCTCCACCGCACGTCCGATCTCCGCTGGTCAAATGACTGCTGCGCAGTTTGTCGCACTCTTGAAGTCTTTGGT